AGAGTATGCGCTAGACTCTAACGCATATATGTTTATAGGTTATAGTGAAGCGCTCCCTTCCTAATTTCATACTTCATTGTATTTTAACATTGTGTGTCATTAGAAAGAAGAGCTCCCTTGCTGCTCCCGAAGAAGCTCTTGGTGAGCCATTCAACTAAAGCATTTAAAAAGCGATGCATGCAAATTTTAATTTTTATATTAGGGGTATTCACGATCCGGTGCATACTGTCTAGCATGGTGCATAGATAGCATAAATAGCATGATTGTTGTTGTTTCATGTGTTCAAACAACAATAAAATTAGCCAATCATGCTATCTATGCACCATGCTAGACAGTATGCACCGGATCGTGAATACCCCTATTATATTTTTGTTTTAATAAAAGAATGGCGTTTTTGTAAACCATTTCATGGTTTTATGTAGTGTACTTGTAAACATGTTTTTTTTTCTTTTCTATAAGGTATACATACGAAAATACATATGTACATACATACATACATGTTTGCACATAAATTAACTTTTTTTGAAAAGAAAATATTTTATTTTACTAATCAAAATGATATTTATTTTTGATCATTGTTAAACATTTTTTAATTTATTTTTTACTTTGCTTTTGTACTGCTCCTTTGCGGAGCAGCTAACTTTCAGTCCCGTTGGGTTTATAGCAACAAGCATATATAAAGTTTTTAAAAGCAATTATCTTATAAGTTTTTTACCGTATATTTATAAATCACTTAAGATTAAATAAGTGGTGACATAAGCATGACTATATAAAACAGCTATTCCAAGCAACCTTATGGCCAACACTGTATTCGATTAGTGGTGCCACGCCATACTGCCATAGCCATAACCATAGCCATAGAGACCAATTGAATTTTGCTTTTCCGCCATAACCATAATCATCTAATATCTGAAGTGCGAGTAAGAACGTGTTGCCAGACGTTCTAAAAAGAAAGTTATTACCTTTAATTTGATGTACATACATATTTTTTTATGATCAGCTGAGTTTTAAGAATTTAGTGTTAATTTAGTGACTACGAGAAATCAGCTCTTTATGGTTTTGATACCTATAATCGATGATAGTTAATGCGGTTACGGTTATTGCAATGGTTATGACTAGGCATTATGGTATGTCACCACTAATTTAACCTTTACTTGGAAAATTAAGTGCAATTCTATGTTGTGTAAAAATTGCATAGCTGTACCAATTACCAGTAGCTCACTTGAACAAAAAATACGTATATTAATTTTTTACTATGGGAGTATATTTAGTATATAAATTCAAAGCTTCAATCATGATAAAAATATAGTAAGGTAGAACCGCTGAGAGTCACTTTTAAAATTCTTGACGTTTCCAAACAATTTAATTTTTAAATTTACTCACAAACTCATACACACATTTTCATTTTCAATCTCAAGCAACAACAATTTCGAACAATTTCAATTTTTTATTTTCACTTTTATATGATTTAAAATGTTGGAAAACTTCAAAAAAAATCATGGCCGACAAATTGAGAGAACGGTTCTACCTTGCTATGTTTTTATCATGGCTTCAATTCCGTTTTTAGCCCAGTGATGTCACCTCAAAAAGTAGAGGTTAGCTTCTTATTCTAGAACCCGAATTTTCGTAATTCGTAACTCGTAGCTACGCTACGAAAAACGAAAAATCCACATGCTGCAACCCTTGCGGAAACATGTGCAGCATTGCCAGGTATCAGTTGTTTTTCAAAGATAGCTGAATGAAGGAAAACAAAGTGGGAAAGAAATAAAAAAACACTCATCATGTGTTTGTTTATTATAAAATTGGTTAATTTTACAATTTATATAATTAATTTTATTTTACAATTATAGCAGCAGAGTAAGAGGGCGCTATGGCAATGGATTCACAAAGGTATGCGTAGCTGTCGGGCATAGTCACCATGGTCGCATCTATGTCAGCTTCTGGTTGAATTGTTGAACCACAAGCCAGAACTCTTCCTATGCCTGAAGCTCTGGTTCTCAATCCAGTTAATGCAATAACAGCATCTTCCAAGCCATTGAAAACATGCACTTTGTTAGGTCCACCACCTGTTGCGCTTGCTTCTGCCTTCGGCCGCGCTTAGGAAATATAACCCTTACTAAGTAGAATTATCCTTTCTGTGTTGCGGGGAAGAGGGGCTTCCGCATGTCAAAGGTATACAACATTTCTTGCGCATATACTAACTCCGGCTACGCCGTCCAGAGTATTTTTGCGCAGAACCCACGTCGAAATTTGCAAAAAAGTACATAGTGCAAGCCGAGTTTATTAATAAGCTAGTAGTAGGAAATTTGAAACATTTATCTTAAATAAAATGTGAATCCTTTGATTACACGTGTATGTTAAAGTTTTTGAATTCGGGTTATGCGTTTTGTCACAACAACCGAAAATCATTGTACAAATAACTAAACCGGCCAACAAAGATTTTGTTTTGGTCGTTTATATTAAACTTATCTGTTTAAATGAACACCACCAATATTTCTTGTTAACACACATCGATTTACATCTTTTATTTCGCCTCCGACACAGAATTGTTTTCGTACAAAATTACGAAAAAAGCTTACTCGTTCGTTTTTAGGCATGCCATTGTTACGAATTTCGAAAGTTCGAAAATACGATTCGGATTGTAGCATACTATTTCTACGTTTCGTATCAAAATCCGAATACGAAAAAGTTGCAGAATAGGGGTGAATAATTAGCACAAAGCTGAGAATTAGTACGAATGTTGCGAACACCATTATGAATGGAATGTCAAAAGTCCCCATCGTTCCCACGTCTGCAACAAAAATTTTTCAAGGTTAAATAAATTGATTTTTTGCATTTTTCGGCAAAACAGTGAGGTTTACCATAAAAATAGGTGAGACGTAAGTGTAGATCATACAATTATCTATCAAAACTGTTAGGACATTTTTTTCCTAAGATTTACCATTTCTGAGATATAGCGATTAAAAATTGTAGTAAAAGGTTTGTACTCTATAATATGCAAATCATAAATTTGTATAGAAGCTTTTTGTATCTCTACTTAAGTGCTCATAACTTCTACATGAGCAGTTTCTTATTATCCTAATGATCCTAAACGTTAACAGGTTCATGTTGATATTTTTACCGAAAGTAACTTTTCTTTTATTATTATCCCTCAAATCGGTCTATGTTTTATTGAACAGGGATTTAAAAAGTTTATTCTGGAGGACATATACACATATAGATGTATAGCGTAGAGTATGCGCTAGACTCTAACGCATATATGTTTATAGGTTATAGTGTAGCGTATGCGAAATGTTACACGGCCCCTATTTATCGGAGATAACACTTCTGGATTTGACGAAGTTAT